TACTGAGCATGACCGGACTACACAGGCAATGCTCCCAAGTGAAAAAAAAGGATATAAAATGTATGGCTCGCATGGCTCGCGCATTGGCTCGCATGACTCGCTGGCTCGCACTTTGTCACGACCCAGTATGTTTTTAATATCACATACGCATGTTGTAAGTGAAATTTTCACTGTGTAGGTAATGGTTTTGCTTTACATTTTTGGGAATCCCCACTGTTATGTCGGTATGAAAACAACGTAATTTCAATCAATAAAATCTGTTTATCAAACGTAGGCTACGTTGAACTGAGTAGGCCAAGCCATCACAGTAAAAGTATCCATCCTAAATAATTGTTAAAAGACGGCCGGACCAGACAGCTCCCTGGCTAAGCCCTTGGCTGGTTTTGTGGTGCCATTTGGTCCGAACAGGCAGTCTGTCTTAGATACAGCTCTGTTATATCTCTTGTCTCTCCTATATCTATTCCTATCTTCCATTAGTTTTAACCAATTAACTCTACCAAAGGCCTTTTAGAAATCTATAAAGCATACATACACGTATCTTGTTTAAATTCAATACAATGCTCACTTAAGACATGCATTAATACTCCAATTACATCTCTAGTTCCACAACCCTTTTCAAATCCAAACTGATCTATTCTAATCCATTCGTTTGCCCTTTTCTCCATTTGTGCGGTAAGTACCCTAAGCGGTATGTTAGCTGATGGTACGATGATCCTTGCATCAAGTGGCATTTTTCTTTTTCTCCAGTGGCAACAGAATACTCTTAGAAATGTCCTCTGGCCAGAGGATATTTATATTAGCAATCGTAATTAAATATCACACTTTCCTATTTTGTAATGTACAGTATTAGTTGAACTACAGTAAATAAAATGCTCAACAAAATAATGATTTTTTCAAAATCACTTTTATTCAAAACCAACAATAACATTATCATTATTATTTCATTAGATACAAAATTAAGATAACATTATCTATAAATGAATTACATGGCATGGTAATTTACTTACTTTGACATGTTCATCTGTGTAATGGACGAATGGTGGCTCAACATCTGTAATCTGTATGCATTGTGCAGTGTTGCTAGGCAACCAATAAGAGCTTTTACATTCTTTAAATCTGGTACATCTGTCATAAAATAAGGGAAACTAGTGCAAGATAACCTACTAAAATTATAACTATATTACTTTAGCATTATTACGGTTGTTCCAATGTAAATGACTACAGTGAAAATTAAACAAGCTACTAATATTACAAGTCTTTAAATCAAAACTTTGGACAAACATAAACAATAGTACAATTAATACCATTCCACTGCCTAAAAACATGTACTGTCGCGTTATGGGCTTCAATTTGATAAAGCAGTCGATTTTCATGGATTAAAATTCATTTGATTTCTTTTGATGAGGTTATGTGGTATTGATGTTGCACCAAGTGGTTTTGTGTTTTGTAGTATGATGTATGCACAACGAGAGACACACCCCCTGGCGCATATACCCCTGTGTTCCTTCGCCAATATTGATTCAGATCCAGATTAATGATGGATATAACAGAATTGTATACAGTATATATTTAATGTAACTCACATTTTTTGCAGTGTACACCAACCACAATATGGGTCTCCATCTTGGTCTCCAGTTGGTCTGATGCACTCATCACATGTGGTAAACTGACTGCAGTTAGCTACTGGTAGCTTAAGCAACTAAAAACAGATTATTAAAAACACTGTAACTTCTAGATTGATGCAAATTATATACTGAACATAATAAATATTTGAATTAAATCACAGATGTATAGCATTTCATATAAAGAATGATGACAATTATATTGACAAAAATAAACATGCCACTACCAGTAAAATAGTAAAACCAACTATAATCTTGATCAATTAAATAAATACTAATCCATCTTCAATGATGCTTTGCATTAGGATATTTAAATAGGGGTGATGTTTTTTGAGTCCTACCCTAATCAAGATATTTTTCTCAATTATTTGGAAGCTTACAATAACATGCTACAGTAGTGCGTCACTCCCATACTAATATCCACTAAAACTGAACAGTACAAAATGCATTAATATCAATAGAAAATTTTCAAATGTGATTTATAATGTGAAAAAACTACTCAGATGAATAATGTTAAATTTTAACGCACCATGTTTTCTGTAAGCACCACAAATTGATTGGAAGTTATGTCTAAAAATGTATCTGATCTGATCTCTTGACCTGCATCTAATGTAATATTTTCATACACTCTGGCGGAACTTTTGCTGATGATATTAACCTGATATTCAATATAAAAAGGCATAATTTTATTACATACATTTATACATTTTTGACTTAACAAGATGGATCAACTTTACTTTGGCCTGAATCTAGTGAGAGTAATTCCTGTATCAAACATTTTACAACAACTTTACATGAACAACAATAATTTACAATATACCTCTTTAATATAAAATATCCATTGACAGTCACAAAATCGTATCAAACTGACACTGAATAATGATATGATAGGTAAATTCATTGCAGAATTTTAATGTTAAATTTATATTCAAAGAAACAATGCAAATGACAAAAACAACAATCGGCCAGACAGGATTGCCAGAAAGTGAACCAAATCACTGTCTAGTCGCACTTCAATGCCAAAAGAAAATACTGAATAACAGGCTAAAAAGTCAATTAAACATGATGATAATAATACTATAATTATCTATTTACAAGGTCCAAAAGTTAGGTACGATTAAAAAAAAATATTTTATTGTTTTCATAAAATTTTAAAATTCTGTTAAAAGACCCAGCAAGAGTTTATCTGATAATGTTTAATGGTACTGTATTATTAAAAACATTGTTCACTTATTTTGGACTGCACCAAAATCATGTATCCACAGGTTGATAGAGAGAGAGAGTAATCTACCACAGCTCTTAAATAAAACATACAGTATTTAAATTTTGTTAAATCCCTCATTATTTATTAGAAGCATGATGCCATTTCATGCATCGTATTAGGTCTACTCTTCGGTACTCACCTTCATCAGTTGTCCATCGTCTGTGCCTAAGAATGCTATTGTGTGGTTTTCTTCAACTGTAGCTATTACTGATGTCAGGATTGTGTCAGTGACTGTTAGCACAGCCTGAGACACTGCTGCTTGTGTGTAGATACCTTGTGAATATTTTCTAAAGGGGCCTCTATCACCAGGGCACATGTAGGATATCACATCAGCAGCACTGAGACTCAACATCTTAATGATGAAAATGTATTGAAAAAAGATATGTCATGAAATTATTCTGTAGTTCTACAGTTTATTAGTTACCGACAGTGTATTGCAAGTCTTAATAAAATAGGTTTCACAAAACATATCATAAATGAAATATTTGAGCTTGTAGCAACTCTATTGCTTTAATAATAATAAAAATAAAACTAAATATAATAATTCCTACATTTGATGAACAAGAAGCACCGGCAGCATAATTTAGTCTGTGATAAACACGAGCCGTATTAGAACCAGTTAGACAAACATTCAAAGCTGTGAAAAACGCATCTTCAATATCATCCAACTTGTAAACACACAATGCAGACTGTTCAGTCGGTTTTGCACTAGGATCATCCGTCGCAAACACTCCGTAGAGGACATCGTCTCCAGCCAGGAGGCCAAGTGAAGTAGCCAGGTTTGACCCTACTGGGCCTACTGACATAGACTGAACTAAGTTGAAGTCAATGTCACCAGAAACACAACGAAGAACGACTTCAGAGAGTGTGTCAAATGAGTTGCTATGACAAACACGACTCAACCTCGAAAAAAATGCATTCCCATCAAAACCAGGAAATCCATCTGTTTCAATATCATTCTGTCTAAATGCAGCGAAATATGTATATTCCTTATATGAAAAAGCAGCTCTGAAATTAATGATTCTGTTGTTAGCTTTGAATCGAGAGTATAGCTGAACACCATCTTCTATCTGTGCAAATTGTAATGTACTTCCCAAATATGTTCTTGCATTAGCATACATTGGAAAATTTACACCATCTAATGAAGTATGACTGGATGACAAATACAACACGTTTTCAATTTTGTCACCAATTAAACCAGGAGCAATGAGTCCAACAGCACTAAAAATTCCCTCTAAAAAATTGCTTCCATCCAAAGATAAATCCATCAGGAACCGTGCTTCACATCTTCCACTGTTTCCTGCTCCACAAGTAATCAACCTATCGTGATCATAATCAATGGCTAATACCCCATTTTGGTTGCCACAATCATCATCAGCTGGCAAACAAGTTGAAGTTGTTGCAATGATGTTGAAATCCTCTGACAGTCTGTACAATGCATTGTAGGCTCCTATGTAGATATCACCTGTTGTGTTATGGACTGTCACATGATACAAAATTTCATTATTGCTGGGTTCAAATCCATGTATTTGATAGGTTGGCAACTCCTTACAATTTAAAAAAACTGCGATACAGCACAGCAGTAGCAACTTCATCAAAGGAATCATTATTTATTTTTATTGGTGGTGTCTCTATGGAAATCAAATATTGGTAAAATTAATATTATTTTTTAAATGTTTATTGCACGTATGCTAAAAATGTTTTAGTTTTAATTAAAGTTATATTCTTATTATAATAATAATTTTCGTATTGATTGTATTGCCTCGTATGTTAGTATATTAACACCGAAAATGGACTCATTATATACGGTAACCATTTACGCTTACGTTGATTAGTCTAGCATACAAACGATAGATTGTGGACAACCAGTAAGACCGGCAGTAAGAGCCTTGGTGATATGATCAGCCATGAAATTGGTATTGTTAAACTCTTATTTGTTTTTTTCTCAAGTAATCTTTCAACTTTTTTTGTCAGGATATATTTTACAACTTGTTATGATATCACAAATAATATATAAATTAAGAAATTTCAAAACCGGAGCCCACCCCTTTAATATTGAATTTTCTTCTACTAGAGACTACTTAATATTTTATCAACAATTTTTTAGATAATTTTTTTTAACCTGCATAGAATATAATGCTTCAGAAATAAACTGTCACGGACGGGATATTTTTTTTAATGACAATGTATTATTTTTTAATATTATTTATTTTGTGATAAAAGACTGATTTTTATTTAGGATTACAGTACAGTACAGTTTTGTTCCTCCCACTGATGCCAGTCACATCCAAGAGGCAGTCTTCTCAGCATCCAAATATATGCTGGGTCCGACTGTTGAAGGGTTTTCTTGACTGAGTTAGCTTCTTA